GCGGGAAAATGTATCAAAAAGCGGGGGTGTCCCGCCAAAAGCGGGACGTCTGGTCACCTTACCCTAGTTAGTTAACGGGAGTTAGTGGGAGAAGAGCAGTGGTGGGTTGGCCAAACCGGTAGTGGTTTGGCAGCCTGGTTGCTGGAACCGGCAGTGACCCAGGCCTGACGCACCCTTGAACTGGTTCTCCCGGTGGAGCTATAAGTGGCGCCATCTTGTTTTTTGCTTCTGCTTATGCAGAGAGCAATTTTAGTTGTACTGCGCATGAGCATGTGGCACGCACCTGAGAGAACCAGCAGTAGTGCCAGCCGGAATCCACCCCTGGAGAAGAGCATTGTGAATCAACAGACATAAGGTGCATAGATTGAGAGGTTATCTTCCTTGAAATGACTGTGAGAAATAAACTAGAAGCATCTGTTGCTATTCTTAAATGCATTTGGCTTGTTACCTGAATCCTAACCTACCTACTGTTTTACCTATCGATTGTTAATCACTGTGCATCTGATTTGTAAGCTGAAGTTCATCTTAAAGATAACCAAATAATTCTTTAAATTCTCCTTGCAGCATGGCAAAGGAGAAGAATGTGCAGCTTCTGAGGAAAACTTCAGCAGATTTAGGATACAGTCTACCTAGGCACTTGACTACTTCAACACTCATCAAATTTGATATTCAGCACATTTTGAAGCAGAAATATTGTCCCAGGACTCGTCTTTCTGCCAGTAGTTGATGGCTGCCTTGTGACTCACTATTTCTTCTGGCCAAAATAATGGGTCAGGTCGTAAGTCACGTGATTTTCTTAGTATGCATCAGTTTTAGTATTCGTCATGTCTTCTGGAACGAATTATTGACAGATACCAAGGTACTACTACTGTGTAAGCTAATGAAGCACAGACTGGAAGGCACCACAGGCTGGAAACCAGGAGACTGTGACTTCTATCCCACCTTAATCATGAAAGTCAGCTGGGTGACCAGTCACTCTCAGCTCAAATCCCCTCACAGGGTTGTTGTTGGAGAGAAAATAAGAGAGGACGGCATATTATATACATATGTTAGCTGCCTTGATTTATTGATAAAAGTAATAAAGGCAGGATGTAAATAAATAAGCATGTTTTTAATTCCAAAGCCATAATAGATCTAGGTCATAGTCTTTCTTCAAAAAAAAAAGGAACCACAAATTATGTTAATGTATTATTTATATAAAAAATAAAACTTATTTTAAAATAGGAGTCACCTACAGTATGTGTGAATTGGGCACCTATATTTATTTTTAATAAGTAAGTAAATAAATCAATAGTGTTTAATAAATAAATAAAATAAATAAAAACAGAAAGCTTCTCATACATTGAGTTCACATGGACTAGACCTGAGAAATCTGGAACTGTTATACGATCCTAAATAATTTAGAGAAGGAAGTCAACTACAAAATGTTAGTTTTAATACAAGTGATACTTCAAGACTGAAAACACTTTTAACAAAAAAGCAGTAACGACTAACTGTTACGGTGCAAAAGAGAAGTGTATGATCTCATGAGACATTACAAACCCAGCTCTCAGAATTGTTGAACTGAATGAAGGTCTCTGCATTTTTCTCTGAAAATTGGCTAGGGATCGGACTGCACAGCATTCTCAATATAAGTATATAAATTTTTAAAAAGAAATAACATTCCCTACCTTTCGGCTTGTGGGTTCCTCCAACAGCTGCAAATACAGTAAGAAAATATTCTGAACACTATATAGAACCTCAAAATTCTTACAACACATATTCATCTGTATACATTACCACTGATATCCCAAGTGACAGCTACCCAATCTAAAAGCACCATAAAAGCTTTAAAAGCCTAAGAAATAATAAAATCCTCATGAGAAATCCAATAAGTAGCCATGTAGAATGAAGCAATATTTTCAACTCTTTTTTTAAAAAGCAAGTAGGGAGGAATCTGGTAGGAGAGGAGAATGATGTTTTTGAATCAGTGATCCCCATGGTATGAAACAAAAACAAAAGCATATTTCTCTTACTTCCCAAAATTCTTTTGGGAAGAAAGTTGAAAAAAATATTTTTAAGATTTTCCATAAAGATTCTAACAAAAGTGGATTCAGCCAATAGAACATGATCTAATTACTTGAAGACTGTTTAGTAGGGATCTGGAACACAAGGAAATACATAATGAGCATTCTAAAAAGAAGCATTGATAACATGTTTTCCTGAAAACCTTGGAGCATCAGTCCTAGATGGAAGGGTTGCCTGGCTCCACATTGGGCAACTGCATCCATCGCCATGAGATGGTTTTAAGATTGTACATTTTAATTTCTGATGTTTGTGTTTATTGAATCACTACAAAACCAAAACAATTAGTGTTAACAGAAATGTTGCTGCTACATGGCATTTTCACATCAGTTTTCTGCTTTGCCTGAAAAGTGTTTAAAGCTCGCAGTGCAGTGCCGATGAATGGCTAAGTGAGCAGAAATGGGAGTCTTCCAGCATTGGACATAGCAGCCTTCTTTATATTCTTCCAGCATATGGCAGTGATCAAATGTATGTATTGCCTTCTTCTCATCTAGATGTAAACTTTTCTTACATGCTAATTTTCTTTTTTGTTGGATTAGGATTGAAGGGTATATTCAGTGCTTCAAAAATGCAGAGGTTTTCCTGTCATCTTGATTAATGATGGCTTTCCCCCCAATGATGAATATGCCAAAAACAAAAACACCATTAATTCCCAAAGGGGTGTGTGTGATTACAAATAGTCCTTGATTTATAACTGCTTGTTCAGAGGCCATGTGAAATTATAATAGCTCTGAACAACCTGTATCTGAAATCTGAATTTACAGCTGCTTCAGCCCCCCTGTGGTCACATGAACAAAAATATGGCTGCCTTTAGCACCAACTATAGAAATGCTGTAGAGACCCCACCTGTCTATTTTCCCCCCATCCTGCCATGCTGGATCCTTTGGGCTTACCTCCCACAGAAGCTCTTCACAGCCCTTGGGCATCCTCCACCCCACTGTCATGCCTCACTTCATTTACTTTTTTCTGAAGATCACCTTTGGGAAGAAGAACCAGCCAATCCGCCATGCAGCCTTCCTATATAGAGGCCATGTGGTGCTCTCCCAGAAGCAAGCAGCAGTGGCCGGGCCGGCGGGGGGGGGGCACAATTTGGCTCACTCCAGGATGGTACAAACCAGCCTCTGCCACTCTCAGAAAGGTACTCTCTCAAAGGTGCCAAATATGAGGTGGCACCATGCAATCTCTATGTATGAAGGTCATGAGGCAGATTAGACATTTCCCCCTCCAAAGGTGATCTCCAAGATCCAATATGTGATAAAGTATTCAATTACTTAGTCTTTGCTTAGTATATAGATTATCCACATATTTTTGATGTATGATAATAAAGTGCTACTGAAAAATATAGCAAGACTTTGAAAAAAATATATTTGGAGAATGCCTGATATTTATTTTAGTGATAAAAGGATTACATCCCCAGAGCAGTTTAGACATTTCATATATGGGAACAGAATTACTAATAAAATAGTATGTTGTGTTATGCATTTCCATCCACTTATATGAGATTGGGAAATGTTTGCCTAAATAGAACAATGCAATAACAGCTATGCTTCTTGAATTGGGGATGTTACCAGGTCTATTCATGAGCAAAATTCTCCCTCATTCCAACTTACTGAGATACAATCATAACTTATAGCATTAAAAAAGGTTTTATTCTGTCAAGTGTATGTACAAACACACACACAATTGAGCAAAAGATAAATATTTCATTTCAAAATGGCTTATTAAGATTGGAGAGTGCCAAGATATTCAGAACATGAAATATCATATTTGCATAGTTTGCATGAAGAATAATTAAGAAGTTTTATAAAAGTTGATTTGCTAGAACTATTCTGACTGAAGAATACCAGATTGCCAGACACACATAAAAAATCTAGTCAATTTTTACATGGATATACAATGTAATTTCAGAGATATCCTGCAGGGAGTAGAGTATAATCTGTTATCCAAGTTAACTTTTAAAAATTTAACTTTTCAGTCATTTGGTAAATGGCATGCTGATTTCTACAGGCTTAATGTACACTAGGCATTAAAAGTAAAAAGTGCAATTTCCTGAGTTTATTTTTACAAAGGACTTGTCAGTTTTATTTACATGCACATCCTTCTTTGGCACTTTGGCTAAAATAGATTTTTGAAAGATTTTTGTTACTATAAATTTTGAAGCTGGATAAGCAATATATTTTATCATAATCATGTTTCAAGGAAGGACAAGAAAATAAAAGCATTTTCACCTGTATCCATTGCCTTTTCTTTCTTATGCAGTTCTAGAACAGGAAAATCAGAGAGTTATTTCTCCATTTGAATGCTTACAGTTCCCCCTTGTTCCCTTGTGATTATCTACTACTGCTGTCAGATGCAGTAGAAAAGGCAGAGGTAATAGAAGTGGCCATGGAAGAAAGATAATAATCTGGCCTTGGCTGGAAAGCTTCATGTGACTCAGAGAGCCAGGCTGGTAGAGAAGGAGAATTATGAAGTGGAAGAGGGAAGAGAGGTTAAGATGACACAATGAAAAGTGCCATCAGCTGTGCAGTATCTATTAAGTTTTGCAGGGCTCATTGCAGAGGTGGGTTTCTACCAGGTTGGACCAAAAAATTTTGCGCGGCGAACCAGCAGTAATGCTGGTAGCAACCCACCACTGGCTTATTGGTGGGAACAGCACCAATTGGGAAGGACCAGTTGTGGTCTTCCACAAATTCCAGATCCCCTTAAACTAACCCCACTCTCCAGAGACGTGCAGTCACTAGAGGCAAGGGAGGCGGGGCCTCACCAGTCTCCTCAGGGAAAGGAAAGGATTTTAAATAA